ATATGTTACATAAGTTACTAAATGATACAAATGAAATAACGTATTAGATGATGATACAAAGTTAACTCGGATCATTTTTCTGAGACAGTTAATATTAAAGGTGCAGAAACATCCAATTTTAAAAATGGAAAGTAATAGATATATTTTAGCATAAATAATGAACATTTCTTGATTTCTTTGAATGATATCCTTCCAAAATAATTTCATGAAATAGAGGACACATTTCTAGGCCTCAAATAAAATTAAAAATGTTTTATTCCAATGCCATAAAATCATTAAATTCATTCATTACCCAAACCAAACAAGACAAAAAACCCTGCACACTCAGAGAATCATTATTAGGACTTAGATTCACTTGAAGCAAACTTCCAGCTTTGAAACTGTGATGTAGTGAAAATATTTTTATTTTGGTCCCATCAGGATCTTCCCATTAGCCTTACCATGACTCTCTCAAGGATGAGTCAAGTGAAATAACAGAAGTTCAAGACAACATCAGTCTTTACTTTTCATTTGCATAAGTCTCTAAACAAGAAAATTACTAAAACCTTTATGTTTAAAATATTAAAATGCTTTAATCTAACAATAAAAGACGATATTACAATTTTAAATAGTTAACATGTATTGTTCTTTTAGTGATAAAATAAAATTCAAGAAAAATTTCTAAACATTCTCCAAAATTCAAATGTATGTAATATGGTAGAAGATATCAGTGCAAATAATTAAACCACATTTCTTAATAGGTCCCCAAACACTGCATAATAGCAAATAGAAAATCCAAAAAAGAAGATATTTCTATTGTAGTACTTAAAAGATATCAAAACCATTATGAAAGAGATATAAAAACCTCAAACAAAATACCTGCATGATGAGAAAGTGAGGGTTGTTAACATTAAGGCCAACAGAACAGAAGAGATCCTGTACTCTGGTGTTGTTTGCATTTACTCCATTGATTAAATATTTATTTCTGCCACCAATAACCACCTAAAAAAGGAAGAATTCTTAAAAATATGAATGTACACACATGCTTTGTACTAAAATGATAAATTACAAAGTATATTACTTTGCACTTATTCGTTCTGTCCAACTAATGGTAAACAAAAACCAATTCTGAGTAAACAGTGGAAGCATGACATGGTCAAAAACACTAACTTGAGTCAGGACAATAAGCTTCCAATCCAGGTACTTTTGCTAACTAGTTATATAACCAACCACAGGCCTCCTAATCTACCTTACATTGGACTAGGTCTCTAAGGTGTTTATGTTTCCATCTCCATAAGGTTAATGAAGCTTTATGTTCCCCAGTATGTGTAAAATATATTTTCCTTTCCTTATCATCTTCTTTATGTAATTTTTCCATACTCAGAGGTTTACCTCTCTTTTTCTACGTTTCAAGGGGAACAGAAGTCAGATATTAAAACCTAAAGACAAGCAGCTTGACATCAACTCTTGACAAGATTCTAAAAAGCATTAATGAAGACATGACTGTGATTCCTTAAAAAAAAAAAAAAGAGTACTGAATGGGTTCATTAAGAACAAGTGAAGCCAGACACTATTCATATTCTATTATCATACTTACACCATCATTTATTGGGTAAGACTGTCTCACCCCCCAGGTTTTAAGGTCCTTAAAGACAAATCTAATACACCTACCATAAGTAATTTGACAAGGACTGTATGACAATATTTTGGTAAATATACAGGCCTACTGCCTAAATGAGACAGAAACAATCAGGTATATTAGTAACAATTAGTGACAATTTTTATGGGGTAATTATTTGATGGAAGCCTAAGGACAAAGAATAGGATTCTGTCCCAACCTAGTCAACCATTTTTCTTTTAATCAGAGACTTTCATTAAATTAGAAGAGAAAATCTGTAAGTAACATAATCTAAAATGGAGAGTAAATGGGAGCAGACAGATTTTTAAAAACAAAATTCTGACAAGCTGAAAACATTATCCAACTACAATAAGAAAAAAATTTAAGGGACAAATGTAAGGTTCTTCATTGGCTTCAAAAACCTGCATACATGAAAGAATGGCAGTAATACAGCTGAGAAGTATCACACCTGAAAAAAGTCAGAGTGGTTTCAAGTAAATATTCTATAAACCAATAATGTATTAGGAACACTCCAATGCCATACTGGGAAAAAATAGAAGCAGAGTATCTAAAATGAAAAGAAGTAATAATTCTGCTTAATTCTGTTCTAACTAGACCAACTTTGACACCCACAATCTGAGGTGCCATGCCTTAAAAACAACAGATGGACAGATAGATGGGGGGCAAGAGGCAACTGGAACATACTGTGGTGTGATCAGGCAAGTGAAGGAACTAGAAACAAACATCATCAGGTCAGAGACCTGGTGAAATTTCACTTAGAAAACATTTACACTTGTAGATCTTTTAAATATTGAAATATGGAATAAATTGGATTCACTCTTGGTGCTCTCAAGAGGATCAGGATCAATGAGTAAAACTTTAAGACAGCAGACTTAGGCTGAATTTATAGGAGTAACTTTCTAATAAGACCTGTCCCAAAACAGAATGGTTTATCTCAGAAAACAGCAAGATCTCAGGTACTGGCAGTGTTCAAGAACTGCCAATGAAGATTAGAGTATGGTTCAAGATTTAAGCATGTTACCATGTGACCTGAAAAAAAACCATTAAAAAAAAATTAAGCATGGTTGAGTCCTTATACTGGATGGATAATTTTTGAGATCTCTTTCAATCCTCTTAATGATGGAATTTGCATGATCGAGATTTTAATATAAGAAGATATTCTGAAGGAATCTAGTCAGTATTTGATCCAGCAATTTTGCTCATGAATTTTAACGCTTTTTGCAAAGCCATATTGCCAAAAACCCACATAGGACATGAAAAGTTCTTAGGGTATTCAATTGTTTAACAGCCACTCACCTGCCTTGTTACTGTGATTTCATCATGAACCTCAAATCCTAAAGGACTTTGCTTTTTGTCAGAATTATCAAAAGTAATTGACACCGAGGCTTTGGTAATACCAGCCTGTCCGTTTTTGTAAACTAAATCTTGTAAATTAGAAGCCCGAACCTAAAACAAAAGAAGAAAAGTTTACCCACTGCAAAATTCCATGCTGTACAAATTAGCACTAAAAATGGATTTCTTGCTGTTGGAAAGCCCACCAATCTAGTAACCCATTAAGTAGACAAGGACAGGCAGTTGCATCCACTGGCAAGGAAAACAGGTGACTTTCTACAAAGGGAGTCTTTCTTTAGAACCCTTCAACTCTGAATTGTTTTCTATCCATTTCTTAACAAAAGTTAACTTACACAACTTAAGGGAAGACAGCACCTATGATTTTCATTAGTCATCTAATCCATTAGGATTTGAAAAGGCATTATGACACAGGAGTGAAAATACAAACTCTGTATTGTGCCTGCTTTAAAGTCATAATGTCTGAGTTTTAGTGTTACTCCTAAACATCTTGAGAGGATAAACCTAAGGCAACCTCTCCAAATTTCTATTTTCTCATCTAACAGAATAAAAACTTTCCTTACAAGACTGCTGTTAAGTATAAAATAATTCACATAAAGCACAAAAATGCAAATGACGAGAACATCAGCAGTAATCTCCTAAGTTCAGTGAGGATTTCCCAATAAACTTAAGTTCTCATAAATCAGAAAGTTTACACTTTACCTGAGACAGGTTGGAGATGCCCAACAAAAAGCAGATGGAGTCCAATATGTTGGATTTTCCACTACCATTTAAACCAGTGATAGCATTGAAAAGGGGGTCAAAACCATTAACTTCGGTTCTCTGAGCATAGGACTTGAATCCCTCCAGAACGATTGACTTAATATGCATTTTCGATATTGCCGTGGGCCCATCAACCTCTGCTAGGCATCAAACAGGCCACAAACCAGTTCTGTACTGAAATACAGAAATAACACCACGTTAAGTGGCATATAAACCTGAAATCATAATAAATGTGAGAGACTAAAACAAGAATGACAGGAAAATCGAAATAAAATAGCCACTTGCCACACTATCCTCTCTCCGGTAATGCTATCTTTTGCCTACTTAAAAATATACAAAAGATAGCCACTACCTGGAAGTCAAACCACTCAACTTCGAAGTCGTGACTCTTTACCACTTCTCCTACCTATTTTTCCAGGCTTGCCTTCCACATTTATCATACTCTAGCTAACAAAGACTACTGATTATTTCACACCCCATTCTCTTTGCCCATAACGTGCTTCTTTCCAAAACTGGCACGGCTCACTCTCTACTACAGTCAAGTCTTTGCTCAAATGTCACCTCACTGGGGTCCATTCTGACCTCCCTACGTAAAAGAGCACCCTTACTCATCCCCACAACTCGGCTTTTTTTTTTTCGTTCATGACAATTAAAGGTGACTCTAAATGGTAATTACTTGTCCATGGCAGCCCATTACGATTATGAGTTCTTGCAGAATCTTCGCCTAGGTCCCACGTTGTATCCCCGAATCATGCCTGACTCCTGGGGGAGGGAAGGTCACTGACTATTTATTAAAGGGATGAGATGAATCTCATATTCTCCAGCTTCTTACTTTTACTCAGTCCGTCTCCTCGGCTCCCCCGGCCTTCCTCTCTACACCTCCTCCGCCAGCTACTAATTATCAACGGAGATCCTTTGCTACCCATCCTCCTGCTCCCGACCCCCATTTCCCGCCAAGACGCCAGGCCAGGCCCAACCGGCCGTGCGCACGCACCCGCCTTACCGCTGCCTCAGGTCGCCTGGGCTTGGGGAGCCCCCAAAGCTCCTCCCGGACACAGAAGCGGAGAGAAGACCAACCCACTCGTAGCAGGTGCTACGAGGCAAACTCTGCCATAGCGGCCCCAAGCTCAGCACCCGCACCGGAACTATTTACTACTTTAAATTTCGGCGCGAGCAAAGGACCCCTCCGCCACCCTTATTTCCTCTGTTGGTGCCTATGAGGTGCCTGACTCTAGGATTCCACCTTTTCACACCACTCGAACGATCAAAGTGACAAGGCAACAGGAAAGAGAATATAGATAACGGTAGCTCCCAGAATGCAACGGCACGGGCTTAGGGACTAAAGGAGCAGGTGATATATATTGACACTGGCGTCCGGCACACTTTAGCCAGCCCCACACAGCGGCCTCGGGGCCTCGCCTTCGCCAGCCCCGCCCCTCCTCAGGCCCCTTCCGCCCGCCGGCCGCGCCCTGCAGACTCCGCCTTTTCGAGGGCCTGGCGGTGCTGCCTTTGGCTAGCTGCTACCGTCTCAAAGAGACGGAGGCTGGGAGTGGGAAGGTTTTCTGTCAGTGTTCTCGTTCTGTTTCGGAAGCCTCAGAATCTTCTCGGGTTGGCCTAGATTCCTGAGAAATGGAAGCTGTACTTTGTGGGGACCAGGGAGGCGCCGGCCTTCTGGGGACTCTGGCTCCGCCCCTCGCTGGCTTCTGACCCTGGCGAGCGTTTTCATGTCAAGTTTCCGCGTCTGGAAGGGACTGAAATACTCTCTCTAGAGTTGTTCTGAGCCCGGCGGAGAAATTGTGTGGGGCGAGTAGTAGGTGCTAGACAAATAGGTCTTTCTCTGTAATGATAAGCAGGCCTAGTACTCGGAATGTTTCTGAAAACCTTAGGACAGCTAATATTTACTGAATTCTGTATGTCAGGCTGTGTTCCAAAGGCTTTTTAAATGCTTGTGGCAAACCCATGAAATCTGATATTGTTTTCATTTTACAGATAAAATGAGTCTCAAAAAGGTTAAGCAACTTGTCTGAGTAGCAAATAAAGAAGCCGAGATTTGTTCTCGGGCAAGCCTGGCTCCAAAGCGGGTGTTTTTAAGTATTACATATGCTTGGTGTATAGAATCCAGTATTGCTAGTAACCAATCCTGTTATCAGTATAGGTTGTTCTTAAAAAGGAAAAAGGTGTCAGGTTTACTCACGTTTGAGCACAATATTAATGAGTTAGTAAGGGCGTAGCTCCAGAATGGGTATGGTACTATCCTAGGTGAGATACAAAAAGATGGGGTAGCCAATAATACTATTTTAGGGTGTCTGAATCCTTTTGGGCTGCTATAACAATATCATACTGGGGATCTTATGAATAATTTATACCTCATATTTCTGGAGGCTGGAAAGTCCAAGATCAAGGCACTGGCAGATTCAGTGTCTGGTAAAGGCTTTCTGATTAATAAATAGTGCCTTCTAGCTGTCATCACATGGTGCTTCCTCATGTGGAGAGGGCAAAGGAGTTCCCCTGAGCCTATTTTATAAGGGCTCTAATCCCATTCATCATCACCTAAAGGGCCTTACGTCCTAAGACTGTCACTTTAGGGGTTAGGTTTTCAACATGTGAAACATATTTAGTAGGTTAGGGCATGTATTTAAAAGTTGATTTCTTGGCCCTGGCATGGAATTGCAGTAATTGGAACCAGTCTTAAACTTCCAAGAATGGGCCTATACTTTGAATTTCTTTCCGTACTTAAGGGAATAAAGTTTTATGGGTTTGTTTTGTTTGTTAATTTGTTTTAAAAACTCATATATTTACTCTGATACACTACCCACTTCCTGTGATGTCAACCACAGGTCATGACCTAACATCAATTTAATTAAACAGATGTCTTTGCCTTCATTCCTGCATCTTCTTTGTCACAGCTATTGACTTGTATTGATTCTATTGAATCTTACACATACACTTTAAGCTATGTCCCCTTTCATCTATGCTTTGGCATGAAAATATAAGTGTTAGGACAGACATTAGCATTTGCAGTTACCTTAATAACTAGGTGATATACTCATGTCAAATGAATGAAAACTTACTTACAAATGCACTTTTGTTCAATAAGGACTTTGAGGTGATCATAAGAGTATACACATCTGATGACACTTAAGACTATTAAAGTGAAAATTGCTCGTAAAGGTAGAGATTTCTATTAGTTTTATTCTTAGCATATGCCAGAAACACCAAGGAGTTTCTGTTAATAAAGGACAGATGGACTTGAAATCACTGATAGCTCAGTTACAACTCTGCCTCCTGAGATCACTACAAATGAAGTGGAGAAGACCAAGGTACTAAGCCAATGTACTCCCTAATTTCGAGAGGTGAAGGCTGGAAACAGACTATAGGGTAGACATAGTATAAATAGAACACTTCTTTCATCACTGGATTAAAATCTTTTGAAACCTTCAACACTGGCAGGCAGTGATTCAAGCAGAAATCTGGTAGCTGGTGGAGTCCTAGTGCTTATGTGGAAAGCATCAGCACCAGCAAGGACACAGATGCAGTCATAAAACAGAACCTAGGAGAAAGATGAGTCTTCTACTCCCAGGGTATACTTTTCTAATTTTAGAGTGCTAAAGTAAGCAGTTCTTACAGGGACCTGAGTGAGTCCTCTCTCCCTGGAACATGGGACAAAAGAAGAAAAAGGACTTTACTGCAGAAATAAGCTAGGGTGATTCTTTTTTATGAGCAATTATTTTGGGGTTCAAAGAGATGATAATGACAGGAAGTTTGTATTTTTAAATTGTATTGAGTGGCAGCACACTTTGATTACAGTCATGTGCCACATAACATTTGGTCAACCATGGACTGTATTATACGACTGTGGTCCCAAAAGATTATAATGGAGCTGAAAATTCCTATTGCTTAGTGATGTCATGACATCATAGCACAATGCATTGCCTTTTCTATGTTTAGGTACACAAATACTTCCATTGCCATCCAGTTGCCTTCAGTATTTAGCAAAGAAACCTACTGTACAGGTCTGTAGCCTAGGAGCAACAGGCTATACCATCTAGGTTTGTGTAGTAAGCACACTATGATGTTCTCACAACAATGAAATCTCCCAACACATTTCTCAGAATATATCCCATTGTTAAGTGATACATGACTGTATTTCATTTCTCCCACCATATTTGTACTGTGTTTCATTGAGTATAACCTGTCTGGCAAAGTTGGAAAAAAACATAGCTAAGCATAATTTAAAATGAGGAATAGAAAAGGAGGCAATTACATTCATTCACCTATGGGATCTGGTTAGACCCATTTATTTTAATTTCAGTGACAATATTGTTTTCAAAACTACATGTTCTGTTTGGTTCTTTGTGAAATCTGCTTATTCTTTCATCATAGTTTCTATGATTTTGCCTCTTTAATCAAGTTAATCTTTATTTTACCTTCTTTCCTGATCTGTTATTTCCAGCTTTTGAATTCCTAACTCTCTTGTTTACAACGTTTGCTGATTCTTATTCATAGTGATTTATTTTCTCATGTGGTGCTCTTCTTCAGTGCGGTTGTTTTGTTAATGGGAATCTCTTATGCCCTGAGTTGTGAAAGAGTCCCTTCAGAGCAATTATGCATTTGCTTCTGCAAGCATACTTTGGCTCTTAAAGATCCTGAAGCACTTTTAAATGCTAATTTCTCAGTTGTGGTTCTTGAATTATGCAGATATTGTAAATTTAGATCTGTTATAGGACTAAAGTTTTGATTTTTCACTGGTACCTTCTGTTTTTTTCCCACTTCCAAAGACTTGGACAAAGAAACTTCCTTGCCTCTGTCTACCTCAGATTAGTAGGTAACATTTTTTTCCAGGCCCTGTAGTTGACAGTTCCTTAAGGCTCCAGGTTTTACCCTAAGGGTCTAGTTCCAGCTCCTCTGCCTCACTGAAGCTCAAGGCCTTGTGCTTGGACATTAAAACCCAGCTACTGGCTCCTGAGGCATATAGCCAAGTATAAAATGTTGGAGGGCTACCATGGTGTCCGTTCTGCTTTCTGCTCTTCAATGTTTCAGTTTGCTTCTGGCATTAAGAATTTCCTTTTTGTTGTTTTACATTCTATAGTCAAAGTAGCTTTTCCTAAAACCAATAATTACTTCTCTAAATCTAGTACCAGCTCTTAAGAAAATATTTTTATGCACCACTCATAAAATTCAGTCTATCTTTACTTGTTTAATATTTGTTCTTTCAGTTATTCTAGCTGTCATTTGCTTTTATCACTTCCATGCTGGTTTTATCCAGAGTTATCCATCTCATCTCTCTTCTGCTTTGTCACATCCCTTCCTTCAGGGGGATAATTATTAGTTCTTCTTCCTCAAATGTTATTCTCATTTTATTGTTTTCCCTGTAATCTCAGTCCCTTATTATTTTTTATTTCAAATCCATACATATCTGCCAAATACTCCTCCAATTGGTTGCTTTTTATTACCAAATTCAGTGCTTACTAGATCCAATGAGACTCTTCTCTCTTAGATTTTTTTCTGATCCTGTAATTATCTCCCCTACCTCTTACATTATTTTTCAGTCTACTATAGTGGCAAGTACTTGCACTTTAAATTCTAACTTTCTTTCCTATTTTAGCATGACTTGTTAGCTGCCAGGCCCTGCCCTCTCTAAAGTTAAAAAAAAAAGTATGTTTCTATATCAAAAATATATCTTTTCCCTATACATAAAACTTTGGTGAAAATTGCCTAAAGAATTCATTCTAACCTCTTTTAGGTGGCATGCCTAGCTTTTTATTATGTTCTCCACCTACTATCCCAGACTTATCTGCTGTTTTTTTCCTTAGATTGCAATGTCTTTTTTGTTCACTACTATGAACCAAGCACCAACCAATGATGAGCACGCTCAACAACCTCGTTATGGATAGATGAATGAATGTATTCAGTAGGCATTTATAAAATGCTTGCATTATGCCAAGAATTGTGTTAGACGCTGGGATACAAAGATGAATAACATGTAGGTCGATCTCCAAGAAGTTCATAGTTGAGTGGAGAAGACACATATAAAGACATTAAACGGAGGAAGTGAAGAGTGGAAGGAAATCTAAAAGGATTGCACAGGCAAAGGCACAAAAGGTAAATACAATATATGAAGCAAGATTTAGTATAAGAGATGCACAGAAGACAGATTATGGAGTATTTTATGTGCTATCTTTAATTTTTTGTCATTCCTGAAGCATTGATGTTCACTTCTACCCATATGTTTGTACATGCTGAACTTGAAATACTCATCTCTCTACTTTCCTCCATATGTATATCTATGTATGTTTCAACCCCCAAATCAAATATACTTGTGGAAAAATTATTTACAACCTCTTCTATAATTACTTAACCTTTTATTCACACTTTTCTTCTGTCCTCTATTTCTACTGTGGCATACCTTTGTGGTATACCTCAGCACATAATAGATACTTAATAAATATTGGTTAAATATGAATAAGTTCAAGGGGTTTAGTTGGTGCTATCTCATTAACGTAAAGGAAGAGTTTTAAAATGAAAAACAAGATTTGAAAAGTACAAATATACTCAGTACTGGAGTATACAATATATTCCACAAAATATGCAATGTTTTAAAGTTCAGCAGGTTAATGGTAGTGATAATTTCTCACTGTTGTAACAGTGAAGACGTTTTTTATATAACCTGTCAGCGAAGTGTTCTATTTTTGTAATATCATCTGTGACCACTGTGATATGAGGCTAAGGAATGTACCATGGAATACACATTCCAGTTTTATGCTTCAGAGGGCTCTCAGCATTATATATTCTTTTCCTTGGGTTGTGCTTTTCTGGCCTATAAAATAAAAACAAACTTCTGCTATGTTAAAAGAACAGCTGTAGTTTCAGGTTGAAAGAATATAATTCAAGTGTCACTTCCTTAGTTGCTGTCAAGGTATAATTACCAACCTTCCTTTGTGCATTTTTATTATACACACAAACTTCTGTTACATGTATTTATTTATATATCTCTCTCCCACTGTGAGCACCTTCACGTCAATGGTCTTGCCTTACAGTCACTTATAATGTCTATAACCTAACATCCAGACAAGTTCCTGACACAGAGTTGTGTTCCATAAATGTTATTAAATAGATAAGCAACTACATGAACACACAAAGATTATAAAGATGGTCATTCTCTCCAAACCAGAGAACAATCATTCTCTGTTTTCCAGATTTTTCAAATGAAAGTTTGTTGTTGTTGTATTGTTAGTTTTACCCATATTTAAATTCCTAAGTAGTTACCTGCATACTCCATCAAACATCAATGTCTATAGAAACTCATGAATTACTTTGATCAGTATCTCCCCTTCTTTTCTGATTCTAGTCTTATCTCCAAACACTAACTTCCACCCCACCTCTATCCCATTATGAGAAGGTGGGACATGCGGGATCCACAGACTTCTGTTTATTAGCTTTTGGTCTCCACTCTCCCTATACCCCACAATCCCCACTAGCCACTCCCCACCACACACAAGAGTGTGGTTTGACTCATTAGTTCCTAAGGATCTTCAGACCATGGTATTATGACATCAATTTACTCCTGAGAGTGAGAGGATATTTTTCTTATTAATAAAAATAGCAGCATTTATGGGACATTCACAGTACAGTTCAGGTGAGGTTTAAGCAATCTAAATCAATTATGTCTCCAAGTCTTTCCTGCCATTTTTAGGTATTCTCACTCAATATCCTGTGGGCAACCATTTGGGGAAAACACTCAAATACTTTCATAAGAACAAGCAATGATGTATAGGCATAGTATGGTATAGATACACACATTGGAAAAAAAGATGTTTTAAAAATAAACATAACTGCCTACATTAACGTCAGTATGTTACAATATAAAACAAAGCAGTTTATTTCTTTGCTGCTACATGTCTAATATATTTCTATTGCCACAGAGAACTATTCTACATTTGTATAAACTTGAGTATCTATTCAAATGATTTTACAAAAACAAAGGCTTTTAGTGCCCCAAAGATTAATTGTTCACATTTTAGAAGGAACAATGCTTTCAACTTTTAAACAACAGTTTTCCCCACTGTTGCTCTTCAAGGATTTAAAATAATCTTTTATTTGACTTAGCTTGAGTTATTTATGAAGGTTATTATTAAAAAGTAATTTTATTGCTTAAAATACTGACTTATACTTGTGCTGTATACCAAGTTCCAAAAACTTTCCTTAAGTTGCTTCATGTATCTCCCTTTTACAGATAAAGAAACTGGATCTTGGAACAAAGCTTTGACCATAGAGCTGGGGTGAAAGTCCATCCATTCAACAAATAATAATAATTGAGTGCTTACAATGTCAGTGAACAGTATCATAAAATATTTCTGCTGTGTAGAGCTTATGTTATAATGGATATCAGTTCTTATTGATTTCAAAGCACAACTTTCTGCAACAATCTTACATTATCCTAGAAGTAGCTATCAGACTTAATGTCTCAAGTAATTGTCCTTTCTATGTGACTATTGAAGCCCTCAACTCTTTGGAAACCACAGGTGACCTAGCTCACAAAATGCTTGGACATTCTCAGTAAAGTTTGGATTTATAGTAGGTACCCAGATTTAGGTCAGGAACATAAAATCTGAACCAATTTAGGCACTGCTCATAGGGAGTGAATTCTTAATGAAAAAGCAATGTCCCCTAGGAATAAATGCTATAACTGGCTAGAAGGTAGATTAGTAAATGTTTATAGAAGGCAGATTGGATTTAGCGTAGGAGGCAGTGCTGACCAGGGGCAACAGGAGGAAATGTTCTTAATTGTTCTGGGTGGTGGCATCTTTTTATCTAAAGAAATCTTGCCAGCAATTTTGCTTGGATGACTAATTTGGAGTAATTTTTATTTTGTGTATTTTTTATTAGTTAATGGGATCTAGGAGTATAATAACCTGGTGAGAATTTCTCTGCAAATGGCAATCAAATTAGTCTTATTCATGAAACTCATAAATAAGCTATAATTCAGCATTTTATGTTTAGGGAAAATAAAACTGGGGTCATGCTGTTTAAGAGGATAAGGGAATTTAACAGAACGCTAGGGGATTTATAGCAGACTTATGAAGAAGATACATTCTAACTGGAGGCTTAATTGTGATTTAAATTACAGGTCAAGCTGTGCAATGTGTTTTCTTTCTAAGAGAAAATCTTTGGAGAGATAAAGTGTGCTTGTTTAAAGAGGAAACAGAAAGCAAATGAGAAAACAAATTGTATGTTCTGTTTTTCTTTTAAAATTTCAAGCTGCTTTAGGTCAAATTGCCCCTGAGTTCCTGCTGATGGCTGTTGTGAAATTTCCTTGTTTTACTTTCTTTGTGTTATTCCTGCCCTCTATTCCAGAGCAGTTATTTAACCTGACAGTAACAAAAAGATGTAGACAGCACATCTGCCAGCAAACTAATATGAAAGCCAGAGATGAGGTATTCTCAACCTTTCTAGAATTGTGACATCCTATTATTTTAGGCTGACTCACATAAAATTAGTAAATTCTGCAGATGAACGAGCCCTTGAAGAATTATAGCCATTCATTTTGTAAATGGGGAAATTAAGGCTTCTAGTGATTTTCCTAAATTTATTCTTTATCTCAAGTAACCTAAAGTCTAATGAGGAAATAAAATTTGTGTACAAATAATTTTAATTGAAAGTATAAAGAAATTGCTTCCCTGTAAAATAAAACTTAAAACAGATAATCAAAGGTTGATTCTGTCGGGAGGATTTCTAATAGGAAAAGAACAGTTAGACCTGACAGTCCCAGATCCTTTCTCTCTAATAATTCCCTCTCCCTTGGCAAAATCCCTCAATAATGAACACCAGGTCCACCATACATACTTCAGTAAAGAACAGGGATCAAGTCAGAGGTCAGGGATGAGGACAAAGGCCTGAGAAGGGATTGAAATGATCTGCTTTCCCTTTAAGGCTCTGAAGCAAGACCAAGTCAAGAATGGAGCTTTAAATGATTTTTTACTAAAGATTTAGGAATAATAAGGGGAAAACAATCCATATATTATGGTGAAAAGCGAGAAGCACCTGGCTTAGAAGACATCAGTCTATAACATAATCTGGGACTCACAGGCTTAGTGCAATGGGACCTAAGCATCTCTGAGTCCCTCAAGTTATTCCCACCTCTATGGTTTTCCATCTTAGCATCTCTTGTGCCTCAGGTTTGAAGAGTAGCTCCACAGTCATCCACTTAGAGGGCCTTTTCTTTGTACAAAACAAACTTATATAATAAAACAGTATTGGTGTAGAGTGCCAATGTTCACAAGAAGAAAAATAATCATCATTAGGAACACCATTAGGAGAGATTTCCTGGGAGGATTTTCCTAGATGATGTTTGAGCTGAATTCTTATGGTTAAATGTTCTTTTGATAGTTGGTAACAGGGAAACAGCTGTCCAAGAGGACAGATCATGGTGGACAAAGCTGAAGTAATGGTTACAGTAGGAGATAACCTGGTGGCAGGCTGCCAGTAGTTTTATTAGAAACATATTACTTTATACAGTTGATGCTGTGTTGCAGCATGCAGAATCCCCCTTCAGGACAGAGGCATATAAATTCCTCCAGCTGGCAAGAGTGTTGGTTAGTGACAGTTCAGCACTGAGTCCCTTCTTGGGCTTCACCCCCCCCCCCCACTGAAGGAAGCTGCCTAGCTGAAAGTTACACCTCCTCCCCTGTGGTCACCCATATCCAATGATTAGTTGATACAGGAACACAAAAGCCCAGGCCCTTTGCTTTAACTAGGACAGCTATCCAGGGCCATCTAAACAGCCCCTCATACCATCAGCTGAGGCCTTTGTTCTGACTGCATCTCAGTTCAGCATCTCCCTCTGGCCAATTGTGTTTTCTGTACAAGTCACAAGTGTTCTGGACAGCACTCTCAAATAAACTTTCTGCATACGAATCTCTGTCTCTGAGTCTTTTCTCTGGGGAACGCACCTAAGAGAACTCCAGACATAATTTGAGACACAATAGACTATTTTAACAGAATTTAACATAGAGTTTGGAAAGCCTAAAAGTACATATGATTCAGTCATTAAAAGTGCTAGCTCATGGTCTCTATGGTAACAATTTGGCATTTCAAGTTAAGTGCTGAATTACTAAACCAATTTAGATTCCACTGACAAAGAATTGGAAAGAAGAGAAATTGTACCTGAGCTATTACTCTCCTGCTCTGAACCTTTGCCAAACCCATCAATCAGTTCTGATCACTAAGTATATAGTCTATCAGTAAGGCTGTAACAGGCAGTTATGATGTGAGATCAAAAACACCTCAAAATCTCAAAGGCTTAAAAAGAAACAACAATTTATCTCTTGTTGATGCTATGTGTCCATTTCAGGTCAGATTACAAGAGGGAAAAGGTATTTCTGCTTATCATCACTAAGGAAGCCAGGCTGATGGAGCAGCTACTACCTTGAATCTTGTAAATGACTGCCAGAGAAAACAAGAACTCTGGAGGCAGTTTAGAACCATAACATAAATGTTCTATCCAAAGTGACACACATTGCTTACACTCATATTTCACCACAACTGTTCATCACAAGAATCTCAGAAAGTGCAATCACAAAATATGCCTGGAAGGGCAGGAGTGGGGAAAACTGAAATATCTAGTAGGCTGCACTAATAAAGACTAGGGGAAAATTTTGGAACCTAGAAAATTAAAAAAAAAAAAAAAAAGGAAAAAGATTAAACAGGTAGTTGAATTCTAAATTTTCAATTAAATAAAAAGGAGCTTAGTAATAAGTTATTTTTGATCCTTTACTATCTTTCAAATCATATTTGCATGATTTGGAGTTCATTTTATAAACACATATTAAGTAATTTCTATTTACAAAATACAGTGATGGTTCACCTTAGAGCACAACTACGAATCCTTGAACTATTCCTTTAAAGATGTTTATATCTAGTTGAAGATACATGTATTCAAAATATATAGCACAGAGAACAAAAAGAGGAGGGGGTAGGGTCAATGTTTAGTGAGTGTAAAAGGGAGAATTGTTAAGTGCTAAATTTCCACATCTGCAGGTGGAAGAGGACAGAATTATACCTTCTACAAACATACTTGAAATACCCTTTTGGTCTTAGCTGTACAGAAAGGGTAGATAAAGAAAAACAAATATTACATTATTGCTTTTAAATCCACTTCTTCATTTTCATTTTCTCTTTCCCACTAGACCCTTCTATTTACATTTCTGTGGTTAGGATAAATGATTATAAACTGAGAGCTAATAATCATTGCTCCTTGAGATTAGGAACCATGCTCTTTTGGTATTCTGTACACTCTGTTCCTAGTTAATGAGGATTTATGGTAATAATTATAATAATTTGTACTTCTAATTAATGCTTCTTATAGCTTACAAAGCAAATTTACATTTATTATTAATGTTATTTTCACAACATTCCAGTGCTGTAGATTCAGAAGGTTTTAATAAAATTATTCCCATATTGCAGATAGAGAAATTGAGACTGAGAAAAGTAAAATAATTTAATTATTATTGCAGTTTATTTATAACTATGAACAAACTACCCTAAAACAATGGCTTAAAACAACAACATATTTTTCTTTATCTCATCTGGGAGTTTCTTGGGGTCAGCTAGTCAATCCTTGCTTGGGGTCTCTCATGAAGTTACAATCAAGTGATGGGTGGGGCCGACTTCATTCATATGTTTGGTGCCTGGTATGGGATGACTCAAACTCTGGGAGCTAGAATAGTTGGGGCTTCCCAGACATAGCTGTCTCTGTCACCTTCCCCCATGGTCTCTCTAAATAGCAACTTCAGGGTACCTGGGCTTTGTACGTGGCAGCAAAAGGCTCCCAGAGTGAATGTCCCAAGTAGGACCAGCTGAAGCTTCATGGCCTTTACTCTCTAGTCTCGGAAGTCATATATAATATAGCTGCCCTTTCTACCATATTCCTTTGCTCATTAAAACAGTAACAAAGGCCCACCCACTTTTACGGGTAGGGGATAGAGGAGACTCCACCTTTGGGTGGGAAGAGTGTAAAAAATTTTGCCAACATGTTGTCAAACAACCACAAATATATGTACTTGGTAAATAATGAAACAGAAATAACTCTGTTCTTTGTGTTGCAAGTTGGGTTCTCTGGATAGCAGCTGCTAAGATAGAGTGTAGCATGCAGATTTACAAAGTAGTGCCCCTGGCATCAACATTTATGAAGGCAAAGATAGCAGCAGGACTGAGTAGCAGCAGCTGAGCTGAGATATAGGCCTAATGACCACCAACACCACCAGCGTAGACCCTGCAGAGTTCCCTGCAGAGTGATCTCAAGCTGGGCTTATATTCACTGGCATATTCCCACATAAATCAGTCACTGGATGTGGGCCATACTGGGAAGGGGCATGACCTTGGGAAAGGTGACTCTCTGTAGCTGAATTAATCCCTGAAGGTGCTGATAGCTGAGGGTTGTTTGCAAATAGGCGTCCCAGCAGTTGAAGCAATTAAGTTCTTCATTGAAGGAGAATCACCACACTCTGACTCCAAATCCATTAACCTCCCATTATACCACACTATCTCCATTAATATAACATTACCCAAACTGTAGATATTAAATAGATATTAATTGTGAAATAAATTATACAATGAAAATAATCCCACTGGTACATGTATTAGGATACATCTCTTGTATCCCAATATTGGGACACATCGGTGGGAGTATACAAGAGATGGGGCATATGGGCTACAAATCAGTCCAGGCAGCCACTGGTTGCCAGCCTCCAGGCTGCACTATTAATGCTTCTGTCTCTACTATAGTACTTGTTTGCAGTAGAAAATTACTGCTATACTCCAGCCTGTTGTCCCTTTCTACAGTCTGACTCCAGTTTATCAGAATATGTTTATATGTCTCAACTCCAAATGTAAATAGAGCTAGGACTAAACAGACACAAAGTAGACTAACCTGTATGCAATTATTTGCTTCCGAACAGGCTGCTTCAGGACAGACATTTCTGAATAAGCAATTAAATTCAACTACAAAAATAATTTTATTCTGACAAATATGACTTTGAAGGACTAACATAACTCTAAAATTCTAAAAGCATGTTATTTCTATTGCTTTTCTGATATGCAAAGAGCTTAGAAAGAGCACGTTATTTTTGTTTGTACTGAGAAAGTACTTGAGGAGTACTTTCACTCTTACTCAGGAGTGGTAGATACTAGGTAGAAATATTGTCAAATATTTTCAGTTCTCCTTACTCCTAGTCACATGACAACATTTCTTGTCCCTCTTGTAGTTGGGTGGGGTCACGTGAATAATTCTGACGGATATATTTGTGGATATATTTGTTAATAAAAGTGGCATGTGTCACTTCAAGGTAGAACATTTAATTGCTCGTGGGAAATTCTGAATTCTGTCTCTCTGGTACAATAACTAGCAGTATTTGACATAGTGGCTTCTCCATTAGCCTTAGTCACCGGGAGTCTACAATATATG